TCTTCCTCAGGGATGTGTTTTGGGTCTGTATCCTGGTCCCTTGTTTCTCCTGGTTTATCTTGCTTCTCTGTGTGAACTGTGATGCTCTGTTGTCTCTGAGGCATTGTGACATTTTTTGTGTTTATATTTAATTGGTGATTGTATGTTGGAGTGACTTACCCACTATTTTCATTTTCTTTGTTTTGTTTGTGTGTTATCTATACAAGCAGGATACTGTGCTCCTCTATTCGTTAGTTGACAGCACTTATACCCTCACCACCTGTCTCCTTTCCTGTTGTCAGCCTCTCATATGTCCCTGCCGACCTTGGCAAACACAGCCTAGTCTTAGGTCCTGTTTTCATTCAGGTTTTTCCACTAGTTGGTGCCTAATCCACTTCTGTATAGTTCCTTTCAAAGCTCAGGACTCCAGGATTATCTTCAGTATCCCTGTCCATTGGTTTTTCTTTTCTTTGTTGAAGAGGGTCTTGTCGCTTGTCTGCCTATTCCTCCATTTTACCAGATGTCCCCCTTTTGATTTTTTTTTTAACCATCTGAAAATGTAAAATCCATTCTTAGCACATGGGTGTACAAAACCAGGGGGTGGGCTGTAGTCTGCTGACCCAATATACAGCATCAAATGATACATTATAACTCAGATGGGATAAAAATTACAGATCAGAAGAGAAGGTGCAAGGTGAAGGGGCATGTGGCAGGTATACTGACCAGCCCCCAGTGGGGAAAGTTCACATCTACTCAGAGAGCATCCTGAAACTTATGAGGGCTTTCTCTCAGGAACACCTAAGTGATTTCAGAAATCTTAGAGGGAGTCTAAGGAGCTCTGATGATACAGTGGTTAAGGCATTTGACTGCTAACCAGGTGAGTGGTTTGAACCCACCAGCTGCTCCATGGAAGAAAGATAAGGCAATCTGCTTCTGTAAAGATTTACAGCCTTGGAAACCCAGCAGGGTTGCTGTGAGTTGGAATCAACTCAATAGCAGTGAGTTTGGTTTGGTTTTTAGTAGAAGGACTCTAGGAACTCACTTAAGGACTTATTCTCAGGGCTCAGCCTCTGTCCTAAATAATGAGGCTGCAAGGCTTCTATCCGGTTCATTCTAATTTGAACCCCTGCTGATAATTTGCATTTCTACCCCAGATATACTGAATCAAAATTTATATTTTAATAAGATGCATAGGTGCTTATTTCTTCTTTAAATTGTATTCTGTTGTTGTTGAGAATATACACAGCAAAACACACCAATTCAACAGTTTCTACATGTACAATTTAGTGTCATTGATGATATTCAAGTTGTACAACCACTCTCACCCTCCTTTTCTAAGCTAGTCCTCCATGATGAAGATAAACTGCCCCCTAAGGTTCTTATCTTTCAAGTTGCTGTTGTCAATTTGATCCCATATAGGTAGTTCTTAAGGAGCTCTGGGGTGTAGTGGTGAAGGTATTTGGCTGCTAACCAAAACAAACTGTTCCACAGAAGAAAGATGAAGCAGTCTGCTTCCGTAAAAGATTTACAGGCTTGGAAACCCAATGGAGGTTGCTATGAGTCAGAATCGACTCAGTGGAAGTGAGTTTGGGTTTTTGAGTTTGAGAGAGTTCTTAAAAGAGCATAATGCTCAAAGCAGAGGTTTGTTAAAATTTTTACTATTAAGCTAAACTATTTTAGTTTTAAGATGACTTCAGGGGATATTTTTGGTTTAAGGTTTAAAGATTATCTCAGGGCAACAGTTTCAAAGTTTGCCCACTTTCCACAGTTCCAGAAAATCTAGAGTCCATGAGAATTTGAAATTCTTGCTCTGCATTTCTCCCTTTTGATCAGGATTCTTTTAGGGAATCTCTGAAGGTCCCTGTTGTTGTTGTTATGTGCCCTCGAGTAGGACCCGACTCATAGCAACTTCTCCTTGGGTTTCTGAGGCAGTATCACTACGGAAGTAGATTGCCCAACCTTCCTTCAGAAGAGTGGCTGGTGGGTTTGAACTGCCAGCCTTCTGGTTAACAATCAAGCCCTTAGACACTATGCTACCAGAGCTTCCCTGAAGGCCCCTAGGTGATTATTATGTGGACAGAAGAACCACCTGGGGATCTAGAAGAATCACCTGGGGGTTCATCAAAATGTCGATTCTGATTCAGTATATCTGGGAGGGAAAAATAGAAATTCTCAACATGGAGTCAGATAGGAATGAATCAGTTTGGAGCCCTGCCAGAAGCCCTCTGAGAGTCTCTCAGTGGTGCAAATGGTTATGCTCTGCCGCTTACCCAAAGGTTGGCAGTTTGAGTCCACCCAGGGCTGTGCCTAGTGATCTACTTACTTTCAAAAATTAGTCATTGGAAACCCTATGGAGCACACGTCTATTCTGACACACATGCATTTGCCATGAGTTGGAATCAATGGAAATTGGTATATATAACCAGAGAGTCTCAGTCCAGTTTCTCTGGGTTCCGCCCAGTTTATATCTTTTAATCCTTTCCTCCTCTGAACTCTCATGACTTCCTACCAGTACCTCTTATGGCATTTATCCCTATTTTAGCTAACTTTTCTTTGTATATATTCCTTTTCTCACTTACAAGACTACGTGCAAGGGGCCCTGGTGGCACCCACCCTCTGGTGCTGCTCAAGCCTAGTTCTTCCATAAGGCTGCCCTCTCAGGTCACCCCTCTCACTGATCACTGCCTCCTGACTCCAGCCCTATGTGGTGGAGAGGCCAGTGGCTTTGGAGTGAGGTAGGCTTGAGTTGAAATCATCCTGCTTATTAACTCAGTCACCTTGGACAACGTGCTGTCACGTTTCTGAGCTTCAGTTTCTGCATCTATAAAATGGGAACAACAGTCCTCATTCTACAGGATTACTGTAGGGACTGAATGTGATAATGAAAGCTGGGCACATAATAGGTGCTTAATTGATGCCTTTTTAGTGCTACAGTGTTTATGCCGTCACTACTCCACTATTCACTCAGGGCCAATGGGAACCTACTAACATTCTCCCGTTAGCTCACTGCTAAGGTTTCAGGTGGGTCACCAAGAAGGTGAAAAAAGCTGCCTTCTGTGATGCACTTGTGTCCAGCTGGCACCTACTCTCCTGTCTGGACATTGCTGGGGTCTTGGGGAGAGAAAGGAGACACAGAGGATAGGAAGGAGAAGGGATGGGGTGGGCGAATCAGGGATGCCTCTCTGGAGAAACTATGTTTGCTCAGCAGGAGAAAAGTAGACACACTAATGTCTACTTCCCATGCCTCTAGCCCCTCCCGGTCCAGTCTTAGGCCCAACCCCCATTTCAGGGAACCACAGAAGGGTCAGCCTCCCCACCCTCTCTCTACTCAGCCCTGCCTGGGAAAAGGTGCTTTACTTTGATTTCCTCGTCCGATGTTTCCACCTTGAAGGGGCGGATGCTCTCATCTTCCTCAGTGGTGGGCCTCGTCCCTGGTCCCCACCACCCATGTTCAAGAGGCAAGGTTTCTTCCTGGTCCCGGGAGACAAATAAGTAGATGACAAAGCCCAGCACGAAGGTGAGGAGAATCTCCAGCCACATGACTCCTGCAAGAAGGAGGGGATTCCATCAGCAACAGAGACCTTCTGGGACCACCCCAACCCTGGAGACAGAGACACCAAACCCCCATGAGCTCCTCCCCATGAGCTCCTGCCCAACCCTATTTTATATTTTTTAACTAAAATAATATAAATATAATATAGAAAAACTGGGGAAAAAACAGAAAAGGGGAAAATTATCCATAATCCTACTAAGCTATGAAACATGTTAGTTGGAAAAATATGAATCAGGGTTGACTTCTAACAGCCCTTGGTGTTGGGCCTACATTTCTGTGGCCTCATGTTTGTTGAAGGACATCCGCACCAGAAACTCATGAGAAGGTTTCTCTCACACCCTCTGGATGCCCTCCCCCCACAGGAGGAAGTTTGGTGGACTCCAGAGACAGGCAGAGCCTCTGAGGCTCTGTACCTCTCTTTGAGAAGGGCCTGTCCTCAGGACATCCAAGGGGCAAGAGAGGTCTGAGTGCTAGGTGGTTAGAATCAGTCCAGCAGCATGTCAAGAAGCCCTGCCATGGCCCACATCTTTGCTGTGTCTTGATATCGTTTGTCTTTTTTCTCAGGCACGGAGGGAGGAGCTGAAACCCAATACCAGGAAGATCTTGGCCCAGCGTTGTTCTCTAGCTCCTCATCTTCCACATTCCCAGGGAAGTAACCCTAGAGAACATGCCAGAGAGAGAGGGTGGTGCTGGCCACAGTGTAGTGAGGACCCAACGAGGGAGAAAGCACGGTATCTGAGCTGAGGCCCTGGCCCAGGCCCTGCTGGGGAAACTGTGTGTTACCCAGTCTCTCCACACTCTGCGTTCCACATGTTAGATGCACAGGACCCTCCCCTGGACCAGAGCCGTGTCACTTCATACCTAGATGACCTCAACATCTTTCAAGAGAGGCATCCTTCACTGGAGGGAGTGAGTAGTTGGACCTGAGGGCTCAGGATCATGACTGCAGGGGACATCAAGTTCAACTGACATAACATATACACAAAAACGTTGCACATCCTACTTTGGTGAGTAGTGACTAGAGTCTTAAAAGCTTACAAGTAGCCATCTAGATGCAACAATGGGTCTCTCCTCATCCAGAGCAAAGAAGAATGAAGAAAAGCAAAGACGTGGAAACAATTAGTCCAAGGGACTGGTAGACCCCATCATCCTCAGCCTTTATGACCATGAGGCCAGAAGAACTAGATGGTGCCCAGCTACCACTGTCAACTACTCAGAAAGGGATCAGTGCAGGAGATCCTGGATAGAGTAGGAGGATAATGTGGAACAAAATTCAAAATCACAAAAAAATTTACTGGTCTGATAGAGCCTGTGAGACTCCTGAGACCATGGCCCCTAGTTGCCCTTTAGGTCTGGAACTGAACTTACTCACGTGGCTTCCAGCCAAACAATAAACAGGCACATAGGGTGAACATTTACATCAGGCAGAAACACTCCTTGCAGCGATCAATATGGGAAAATAGAAGGGCAGTATTTGCACAGGAAGATAGCTTGGGGGGCCAAAATGCATAGGAAAGAAGGACACAGGTAAGAGCTAACTACAGGGTGGAGGTGAGAAGAGAGCTGTTACATTGTGCAGAATTGAAGTCAATGTCATGAAACAAAATGTGTATGAACTGTTGCATGGGAAACTAATTTGCTCTATAAACTTTAACCCAAATCACAATAAAAATAAATAAATGATTAAGAGAGGCAGTCTTCAACCTTATGTCTCAGAATCACTTCAGCATTCTGGATATAGCTTGCATGCTCAGCCCTTGAATGTGGTATGAAAAGTTGGCTCACCTCCTCTAGGAAGTGAAATTCAAAAGTCACTCAAGGCCTTGTTTTCTCAGTACTGATTAAAAATCTAAATGTGTCTGGGCAAAGGCCTCTGCCACCCTAGCAGGGCGGTAGCATGTGGTTTGCTGTTACCAGTTCTGCCCCTAGCTTAAAGATAGGCACAATTTTTTTTCAGTCCCAAGTCTGATGCCAGCTGAATACCAGCACCAGCATGCCTATAATTAAAACAAAGTAAGGGATAGCTAGGGAGCCCTGGTGCTGCAGTGGTTAAAACACTTGGCTGCTGACTGAAAGGTCAACAGTTTGAACTCATCAACTGCTCCATGGGAGAAAGATGTGGCAGTTTGCTTCCATAAAGATTACAGCCTTCGAAACCCTATGAGCAGTTCTCTGTCCTATAAGGTCGCTATGAATTAGAATCAACTCGATGGCAACAGGTAAAAGATAGCTGGTCCCTGGATGGTACAAATGGTTAATGTACTCAGTGGCTAACCAAAAGGTTGGAGGTTTGAATCTACTCCAAGGTACCTCAGAAGAAAAGCCTGGCAATCCACTTCTGAAAAATCAGGCACTGAAAACCCTATGGTGCACACCTCTACTCTGACACACATGCGGTCTCCAGAAGTCCGAACTGACTCCATGGAAACTGCTTATTTAATTAATTTATTTATTTTTAAAAAAGAGTATCAGAAGGTGAGTCCCTCCTATTTTAAGGAATTCAGCAAAGAAAACTTCCACAGGCTTCCTCCATTTCCAGAGAGATCTTCTCTCCTGGCCAGGAAATCCTACACTTTGAAAAGGTAGAGAGGAGTCAGCTACTAGCCTCTGTGGTATGTGAAGGTAGGCCTAGGCTCTGAGTCTGTGGGACATGCAGGGGAGCATTGAGAGGAGGTAGAGTGCAGAGGCCCCCAGCAGAGGGACACAGCCTACCTGGCAGAGCCTACCAGCCCAGGCAGGCAGAAACTGTCTGTGCTGGTCACCTGCCCTAACCATGCCCACTCAAGCAAGATATTCAGTCAATCAAGACAGTCAATATATGTGCAAATATATGTGGTAGAAGCATATAGCACAAATTTTGCATGAAATTACAAAGGGAGATGCAAGGATAATAAACAATAGAGGGGCCAAGTGGACACCAAGTTCCCAAGAGAACTTTACAAACTGCCTTCCTTACCTGACTTCAGCAGAGAGGCCAAGAGCAGTGTGTCACTGTCCTCTGGGGTAGAAGTGCCCAACTTTCCCTTTTCTGAGCACAATGATCCAGCAATTTCAGCTGTCCCCACAGCCCTGCAGCCTCACTTTTGGATCCCTCCTAAGGAAGTGGGGAGCAGGAAGCTCTCTGCACACAGCCAAACTCTAGGGCCTACCGAGGGGCTGCCCAGCCCCTGCAGCTGCCACACAGAGGCCAGGTGCCCCATTTGCCTTTATACAGCCACACAGGTCTGCCCACTCAGCAGATCTGATGTGCACACAACATGTTATCTCCTGGGACTTCAAACAGCAAAGTGAATCAGCAAGCTGGCTCAGAGATAAAATGCTGAGATGATGGGTACTCTAGAGTTTATATCAACAAAAGGGGCGAAGTGCAAAGCAAGGGGCATTACAGTGGCTCAAAGCATAACAGCTATAAACCAGAGCAAAGTCACAGACTCAAAGAGAAATTTAAAGCCTGTTATCTTGCATTATAATTAAGATAGTAAGGATATTAATGCTTGGTTTAAAGACAAGGTTTTTGCTAAGTCACTGTTCTCATATTACAAAGCAGGTTTTACTATAAGAATGTTAATCTGCAGCCCAGTAACTGCCTTCTATTTAGCGTTATTGTTATTGTGGTTAGTTGCCATGGAGTTGGCATGGAGTTGGAACTCATGTTGACTCCATGTACAACAGAATGAAACAATGCCCAGTCCTGCACCATCTGAGTCTGTTGTTGTATTCACTGTGCATTTCACTTGCTTTCCAACCTAGTTGGCTCATCTTACAGCACCGTATCAGACAATATTCTGTTGTGATGCAGTTTTTATTGGCTAATTTTTTAATGCATTTTATTGAAATATAATTTATATACAGTGAAATACACAAAACTAAAGTGACATGGGTCAATGCATTTTTTTTTTTTTTTGCAGTGTTCACTCCCTTCCCCTCCCACCCCTGGCAACCAACAAAGAAAGTTTCCCTCCATATATAAACCTTTCCTTGACCCTCCACAATGAATTAATACTGTATCTGTCCTTCTGTGATTGACTTATTTCACTCAGCAAAACGTCCTCCCAGTTCATCCATATTATGCGGTGTTTTGCAGACTCTACATTATTCTTTAGTGCTGTACAGCATTCTAGTATGCGTATGTACCATAGTTTGATCATCCACTCTTCTGCTGATGGGCATGTAGGTTATTTTAATCTTTTTGCTATTGTAAATAGTTCTGTGATGAACATAAGTTTGCATTTATCTGTTCCTATCCTGGCTCTCACCTCTCTAGGATATATACCTAGTAATGGGATTGCTGGGTCAAATGGTATCTCCAATTCCAACTTTCTAAGGAATCACCATATTGCTTTCCACAATGGTTGTGTCACTTCACAGTCACACAAGCAATGTATGAGAGTCCCAATCTTGCCACATCCCCACCAGCATTTGTCATTTTCCATCTCATTGAACCTTGCCATCAGTGCTGGGATGAGAAGGTATATCTCAATGTTGTTTTGATTTACATCTCTCTGATGGCCAATGATTGTAAGCATCTTTTCTTGTATTAGCTGACCACCTGAATATCCTCCTTGGTGAAGTGTCTATTCATGTCTTCTGCCCATTTTTCAATTGGATTGTTAATTCCTTTGGTGTTGAGGCATTGGAGTTTTCTATCAATCTTAGAGATAGGTCCCTTGCCAGATATGTAATTATCAGCAAATATGAATTTGGTGCTGTCATTTTTGTCATGTGCTTTTTCATTGTGTTGATTTCTTTGTTCCATATAATTTTCTATGCTGAACTCATTTTGTTTGTGAATCATGTTATCACTTCGTTCATTGTTATTGTTTTAGTATTTGCTGAATATTTATGCTGGTCCTCTTTTTTATTTTGATGTGAAGGTTTATCATTTTTCTTTGAGGTTACCCTGTGATTTATAGTTTTCTTCCCAAGTGTAGAACAGTCCATTCTATCTTGTAGTTGTTCTGACTTCCCTACCATCTACAAGTTCTGTAACAA